CATAGGCATATTTGAGAGTACAACAGAGTCTTTTTTTATTCATTTATTAAAATACAAAGCAGTTGGGTTTTTCCATAAAGGTACTGATTACAGATTTTGTTTATTCTTTTTAAACCCAAATTTTAAAATTCCTTTATCTCAAGAGTTACTAGTTACTGGGTTTTTTTTTCCTATGCATAAAATTCTTTTTTTTTTAAATTTTTTATTTTTTTTTATTTCAGCATATTACGGGGGTACAAACGTTTAGGTTACACATATTACCTTTGCCCCACCTGAGTCAGAGCTACAATAGACTCTTGATAAACACACGACTGAGTTGGAAGTATGCAGGTGTAATGGAAGGTACTTCAAGACAGGAAAAGTCCAATGGGCCATGAGAATCAATCAGTATGTTTTAGAGCATAAATGAAGAAAGGTTAATCCAGACAGCAAGTTAAGTGGTGGCCAGTTTAGACTTCCCCCTGTCATCTATGGTTCATTTACATTGGCCAATGTTTGTTGAACGAACAAAGAATTTTGAATTTTTGTATTTCGTATACTATATCAAGTAATTTACTTTTTTGTGGCCTGCATGTGAAAATTACTACCATTTCTGACTTAAAAATCTCTCTGTTTTAGCTTACAATTACAAGCATGATAGGTAATAAAATTACTTTCAATTGCTAAATACATATTGTTGCTTTTTAAAAACTTTTCTTACCTGGCATCTTTCTGTTGAAAAGTCAATTGGTTGTCTAATCTCAATGTCAGTACCTGTTTCTGGTGAAGTGCGTCATTAAGTTTCTCCTCCAATTCTTCAATCTTAATAAAGAGAAACAGGTAAGTTATATGTTCAATTTTCAAATTTATGATAAAGAAAAACCTTCAGTTTGAAAAATAAAAATATAAAAAAAGGAACTTAAAAGAAACAGTGAAAAATGGATAGAGTTTTTCTTTGCAATGGTTGTGTCCATGAACTATAAGACTTCTCATACTCCAGTTTGAAACTGCTGCCTCATAAACTGTTTTTTGCCAGGCTGTCATTAAGACTGTTTTTTCCCACTTAACCACTCTCACTGAGAAGCTTATTGACAACTGAGATTTCACATTAGGGCCTCACTCAGGTAATTACTACCAGGCCAGACCCTGAATTCATACTCCAGAGCCACATATCTGACCACTACACATATTCAATTGACCACCACAGACTTCACATGGGTGAAGCTACAAACATCCAAAACACAAAACAATTAACCTCACCTAATCCTGTATTCCCTGTATCTCCCTAACTTCCAAAGAAAAAAAAATCTGAGTTGTGTTTGATATGCTTAGTTCTCCCTCACTGCTTATTCTGATCAGACACCAATTATTTGTTGACTTCACTTTATGAACAGTTGTCAAAACAGTATCATCCTTTTTCATACCCACTGAAAATTCTTCAGTTAGACCTCTATCATCTCCTGCCTGGACTATTACAGTAGTTTCCTCACTGGTTTCCCTGCCTCAGTTTTGACAGCCTCCAAATCTATCTTTCTTTATCTTACCTTTAAAAAAAACTACCAAAAATTTATTTCCCCAGATTTAAATCCTTCAGAGGATCCTCACTGTCTTCTGCATAAATCGTAAACTTTGTGGCATAATACCGTAGTCCTTGATCTGGCCCTTGTCAATTATTTCTTTTGTCACTATCTTAAAAGGAAACTGTTCCAGTCAAAATAAATCCTTGCCATTCCCCAAATATGCTGTCCTTTCTCTTAAACTTTCACATGCTTGGATTTTGCTCTTAGTCTATTTAAAAAATTCTTTACTCCCTCCCTTTTCAACTCAGGCAATTTTTGTTCATCCTTTAAAATAGATGAATTTAACAGCCAATCTGTAATATATTCAAGTGAATTCCTCCAGCATTATAAAATTCCCCCTCTCTACTGGATCATTCCTATCATTAAACAAACAAGACTCCCTTTATCACATCACTCTCTTTGCTACAGTACCACCTCTCTGCTCATTTTCAGAGCAACTTCAATAAGTTTTTCTCCCATACTATTTCAGTGAAACTATTCTTGTCAAAGTCCACAGTGGCCTGTCCAATGGTTATTTCTGCATATTTATCTTACTTGACAGCATGATCTGATAGAGCTGACCACTTCATTCTTTTTTGGCTTCCATGATACTCCTCTCTGGTTTCCCTAACTCACTGCACACTATTAAGCTCCCTAGGCTCCTTTGCTGAATTCTCTTCCTTTACTCCATTTCTAAATGTTAGCTTGCCCCTTGATGTTGGTTTACTGCCCTCTGCTCCCCCCAGGCAATATCATACAATCCCATGGCTTTAGGTACCACCTATATGCTGATATTTCATCTATCTATCTATCTATCTGGAGAGAGAGTGTGTGTGAGAGAGAGAGATGGACTACACCCCTAAATCCTAACTGACAATTACATTTAGAAGTCTAACAGGAATCCAAAATTTAACATGTTCAAAACAGAACCTACGTTTTACCTCCCAAATCAGTTTTCTCCCAGTCTTCCATTTCTTAATAAATGGTGGCCCCAATTAATGAAGCCAAAAATTTAAGAATCTTACATTAGGTAGTAGCCTAATAACTGTCTTCTGCTCCTCCCTTATCTTCCCTTAGTCTGTTAGTTTGGTGCCATTTTGAATACAAAAATCAGGATAATGTAACTCCAACTGCCTAAAATCTGCCAGTGCCTTTTCTGACTACATGACCTAAAGCAAGGCTTAATAAACAATGGTCATGGGCCAAATTCAGCCATGTCCTTTTGCTGAACAGCCCAAGAGCTAAGAATGGGTTTTACATTTGGAAAGAAAGAAAGAAAGAAAAAAAACCCAAACAAGAAGAATATACAACAGACCATATGTGGCCCACAACACATAAAATATTTTCTGCCTTGCCCTTTACAGAAAGTTTGCTAACTCCTTATCTAAAGTATAAAAATTCCTATTACTAAGTGACTCTGTCACATGACCTTGAGTATAACTTGTTTAATTGTTTTTTGATCAAGTCCCTCACTTGGAAGTGATCCCCATAAAAAAGAGACTCTGTCATATTCACTGGTGTATCCCCAGCAATATGTCTCAATCAATATCTTTAATCAATAAAAAATATAAAATAACCACATTTGTCATAATTATTATTTTGCAAATCAAGAATACTGTTAAAGGCTGAGTATCCCAAATCTGAAAATCCGAAATCCAAAATGCTCCAAATCTGAAACTTTTCAGGGGTCAACATGACACTCAAAGGAAATGCGCTTTGGATTGTTCTGGATTTCAGATTTTAGTATTGGGGATGCTTAACCGGTATAATGTGAATATTACAAAATCTGAAAAAAATCCAAAATCCAAAACACTTCTGGTCCCAAACATTTTAGATCAGTGATACTCAACCTGTACCAAAAGGAAAGAAAGAAAACTCTTTTTTAAGAGTTTCAACTTTTATAAATTTAACTAACTTCCAAATTAAGACCCTCACCTCAGTAACAAGCTGGGAAGATGTACTCTTCATTTCCCAGGTAATAAGGAACCCAAACACCTCCAATGAGAGACAAAGAGTTTTGCGCATTTAAAAATTGAAAGGCAGCCAGGTGCAGTGGCTCACTGTCTGTATTCCTAGCACTTTGGAAGGCTAAGGTGGGAGGATCCAGGAGGTCGAGACCAGGCTGAGCAAGAGCAAGACCCCTGTCTCTACTAAAAGTAGAAAAATTAGCCGGGTGTCATGGCACATGCCTGTAGTCCCAGCTACTCAGGAGGCTTAGGCAGGAGGATCACTTGAGCCCAGGAGTTTGAGGTTGCTGTGAGCTAGGCTGATGCCACTGCACTCTAGCCTAGGCAACAGAGCAAGACTGTCTCAAAAAAAAAAAAAAAAAAAAATGCAAGGCAAGAAGAATGAAGCAGAAAGGAATAAAGAAGTCAAGTAAGGAAGGGGATTTAGGCAGTAATGGATGGGAATAAAAGCGTAAAGCTAACAATTCCCTAGCATCAAGAAGTTTGGCCTGAGTAGCTGGACTTGGCAACCAACTGATTAGGAAGTAGGAATCAATGCTTTGTAAATTTTCTTGGACCTGTTTCCGCTTTTAGACATGAAGAAATCAAATCAACACGGTCAAGACATTCATAGCAACAAACTACAACAAAGTCATGTGTCCATAAACATTTCTATTGCTGCCATACTGAAGCAATTAGATTAGATTCATGTATTTTCTAGCTTAAAAAAGATCTTGGTGGGTAGAAGAAAAAACTGTTATTTGCCCCCAACATCAAATCTTCCTTTCTTTCTGACATACCCCTGGTTTTTATTAGTAACAATATGTCCAGTTAAAAACTTATATTTCCCAGCTTCCCATCCCTTGCAGGTGGGGGTGGTCATGCTACGTAGTTCTAGTTAATTGAGGTCACTAGCTTGAGCTTCTGGAAAAGCTCTTTAAAGGGGACTGACCCATGTGTCACATGCCCCCTTTTCCCATTACCTTCTCCTTATTACTATAACATGCACACAATGATTAGAGGCAGATCAGCCACCTTAAGATTTTAGGTGAAAAGTACATGCTAAAAATAGCTGAGCAGAAGATTATTATAAAAGGAACCTGGGTTCCTAATGAGATCAAAGAATAATAAATCAGGTCTAAATTACCTATTTTCAGATTTTTGCTATACCAGAGAAACAAAATCCTTATCTTGCTTAAGCCATAGTTTCCATGTCTGTTACCAGTAGCCACCATTATCCAAATCTCTGGTACTAACTGCTGAACTTAATTCCTGAAACCGTGGACAGCTGGTTCCATCAGTTTCCACAGCAGCTATACTATAATGCCCACAACAGCTGACTATTCAGGACTACTCGAATGCTTCCAATGACAGGAAGCTCAGTAACTTAAAACCAGGCTATTTAAATGTTAATAGCAATAAGAGGTTTACATTTAGCAGAAATCTACCTTTCCCGTGACTCCCAATCGTTACCATGGAGCCCTAGTTTAGTGAGGAAAATTTATTTTTTGTGATGCTAGAGTATGATATTTTCATTTTTGTAGCCCCGATGCTCAATGCATCAGTAAACTTTGGCGAATGAATGACTAACTAAAATACCATTCTTTAATCAACTCCAGACTCATAATTTCTCACATTTTAACATCTCTGGGATGCATTTTATAACCTACAGCACATAACCATTTCACGGGCAGTTTTTAACCTTAGCAATACATGTAATGGTCCACCTTACAATCAAGGTGCCTTAGATTCAATAAATTATGAAAGACTAATTCTTCTATGATATTTCTTCATATATTTGACAGCGAACATCTTATTCCCAAGGGGTCTTCAAGTAGAACACCCTTAGTGCTCATACGATAGACAAAAAACTCTGAATATAGAGCAGGGAAGCTATTCTAGAAAGAATCTGGCAGTACATTTAGTTAAATTAAGTATATATATGTATGTCAAAGCAATGTTCACAGAAGTCCAGAAGAGAAATGTCTAAAGAAGACCAATGGTGTGTGTAGCGGCAAAGGGCTGGAGGCAAACTGAGTGCTCATCACTGTGGGAGTGGATGGATAGATTGGTAGATATATAGAGAATTATGTAAGAGTTGGAAGCAAAAGAGTAAATGTATACATAGCAACAAGATAATTTTTAAAATAGTGCTGAGTAGAAAAAGAGATGAGAACTAAAACAAAACATATATTTTACATTTCTGTAAAGTAAAAATGAAAAATTTCCATTCTCAAGAATACATGCAAACAAAAAGATAAACATTAAAATGGTTGCATAGAGAAAGGCAGGAACAGAAATGAGCTATGGGAATGAAAAGAATACATTAGAAAAACATTAACCCTTCAGGGATCAATGATAATTATGTGTCATAAACTCAGGAATATCACTAATTCAATCTTCTACAATTTCAGTCCAATAAGAAAACCACAACAAAAACA